CAGGTAAGCTTCTTAAATTCTTTAATATTTATAGAAAAAAGATGTCAAAGCATATTATAATCACGTGAGAAACAAGCGTTATATGGGATCAGTGATCGCTTATCACATGCACTACGATCGTGAGACCGGTACAGCGCGAATGATGGGAAATGAGTATCATTCGGCGAATTAAGAGAATTCTGACCACTTTCAGAAATTCTTATCAAAACGAAGAAAAATAGAGAATCTGGCTATCACTCTAAAAAAGAGAGAAAGATCATTGATATTGGCCTTTTCCTTTTGATGAGAGAAGATGGCTCCATATCGTTAGAAAAACAAGGGATTGTCTCTTATTTTTTAAAAGTTTTAGAACTTGAGAAAATGAAGATTATTAGAAGTATAAAACCAATCTCTATCATGGTCCCAAGAAGGTCTATTATATTTCAGCTGTTCAAATGCTGTTCACATGGATTGGCTCGGATGGCATTGACATCAAATTCATGAGAATCTCAATGTACACAGCTCCTGCCCTTCTAGCTTTAGCAATCAACTTTGCGTGGTGAGTTTGGTTCTGGAAAATACTTAGAGTGGTCATTCACATCACATTTTCAGCGTAATTCTGCTTGTGATTTTCTTAGACGATGGACTTGATAGGTTCAATAGTCCAGATTCGGACAATGATTCAACATATAGTATTGCTGCTGCAGAAGATTCTGATTTGGGTTAGTTCAGTCTTATCCCAGTTACTTCTACTTTTGCGTATTTAACCTACTGGTTAAAAATAACTTTTCAGAACGGAACTCTGTAAAAACGGTGAGAATGGATGTAATAGCTGTAATTGTTTGCATGTGGACCAGAGCTGCTAGGATGCTAATCACCGCTAATGTAGAAAGGTGAGCTTTATTAAGCTAGTAGTGCAGAAAGATCAAAATTGGAAGTTTCAGCATTGGCTCGCCTTTTTCGCAAGTGATGTTCGGTCTGGACAACAAGCAGGTGTTGAACTACAATGCCATGATGCAAG